TGCTCGAAACTATCACTTGAACGAGCCTCCAGGTCAGGCGCCAGTCTGGCAGGCCTAGTGGGAGAGAGCCCGCGGAGACCTCTGGTGACCCCCATTTCGGAAGCAACTCTAAATAGCACCTGACCTGGTGTTTCTACGCCAGGGGCCCTAACTACTTCACAAGATCCTGGTGCCGCTGCCGTCACTACTTCACTGGATCCCGAAGCCGCTGCCGTCACTACTTCACAAGGTCCAGAAGCCTCTGAGCCTCCCTCACCAGGGCGCCCCGGGGGGCCCCTCCGATCGTTCTCTCCGCCCCCTGCTCCACCAACGCCTCGCGGATGGCCTTAAGAAGGGCCCCGTCGTTCGTCGTCGTATCCAGCAGGAACTGGATCTTCACCTGCTCGTCCTGCTTGGCGTTCTTGGTCTTGAGCCTCTGCGCGCGGCAGTATCGCACCATCTCGTGGAGCTCGTTCGGCGAGGCGGCCTTCATCACCTTCTGGTCCAAGTAGGTCTTCAGCACCTGGCGGCCTGCCTTCAACGCGCCCCCTTCGTGGGCCTCGTCCTTGTCCAAGAGTCCGTCGATCAGCCCCGCGAATGTCCGCAGAAAGGGGGCGCGCATCTTGGGCAACTCGAGCTGCTCGCCCTTCTGCGCGGCCTCCGCTAGCTTCTAGCGCCGCCCCCCCGCCTCGGCGTTGAAGTTGGCCCCCTCCTCGAGCGTGCGCTGGGCCGCGGCTGCGTCGAGCGGCGCGAGGAAAGTGTCGTGCACCGCGCCCAACATCGCCCTCAACTGCGCCTCGCCCGTCAGCACCAGCTTGGCCAGGACCACCACGAGCTCCTCTAGCGTCTGCTTCCTGTTGGCGCCCTTGGCGCCGCCGACCACCGCGACCTGCTGCGAGCCAGCCCCGCGGTCTTCGCCTCCTCGCCTGGGCCCCTTGCGAGCGGGGCCTCCGTCCCTGCGCCTGCCCATCCGCGCGGGGCGCGCCTGAGACTCTGGCATCAGCTTCCAGTTGCTGCTCGTCAAGATATATATGCTGCCTTCGGTCGTACACCCTCAGCCTTTGAGGTAAATGACTACAGACATGTTGCTGGGAATCGGGGAGTTCATAAGCATGGTCACCGCATATCTTGCATAAGAGGTCATCGGGCTCCTGTAGTGGCTCCTGTGAGTGACCCCCGCCAACATAGCAGCACCCACGGACCATTGACCCCGCCAGATGTCGAGCCGCAGTCACACGGCTAGAAAAAAACTCCATACAACTCGGACACTGATTGGTAACACATGAAACATGGCCCAAGGAACGTAGGTGGTGATGAAATCGCAGATGATTGGGGGCAGACTTCTTATCACGAAACCCAGCGTTGCACCTACATCTTCTCCCCGTCGTCGTACCGTCCTCGCCCTCCTCCTCCTCCTTGAAAACTCCGCATATCCATCTGACCACGACTCCTTCCACCACCTCCTGCTCGAGAACCTGATCCAAGGGGGACTCGTACTCAGGGGGGGGGGGGGGGGGGATAGCTACTGCGCGCTGCTTGCGTCGTAGCTGGGCGACGTCGATATAGCAGAAGTCCCTCCCATGAGTCTCATCCCAGAAGAGAGCGAGGAAGGGCCCCTGGAGTCGTGTTAATAATGTTTCACCTTCTTCTAGAGACGAAAGCGATTCCAGGTCAGCGTAAAATATCCTGGCCCACGGGTTCGCATATGCTGTCAAGCGCCCCATGGAATCGAATTGCGGCCGCTCGTCCGTGGGCAAGGTTCCGAACATCGCAGCCAAAATCTGCGAGTTCCTGCGAGGGAACTGAACGAATTGGGCAAGCCATCCAAGCCTGCGAATCCTGAGCTCGGTGAAAGTTGGGACCATGCGCCAGTGCTCTAGCACCTTCGCATTCGACAGGATCTGCGTGCGCCGCTCGCCTTCAAAGCTGGCGCCATGCATTGCCGCGCGACAATCCCGAACAATAGCCGAGTCGAGCTTGTTGCACTGGCTCTCCGTGACGAGATAGGCTTCTAAGTTAGAGATACTTGCATTATGTGCCCCCAGTAGACAAGACCTTTTAAGCCGATGAGGTACCCCAGGGGTAGACCAGAACCTGCCCGAGGAATAAAAGGCCGACTTTGTAGCTACTAGTATCTTGTTGATCTCGGGCGCCAATGCTCCAGAACTGTGAATCTGTGCTGCTAGAACTCGCATGGCAGGGCGGACTCCGCCAGAGAAAAAAAAAGAAAAAAAAAACAAAAAAAAACGCCCCCATCCTTTCGCAGACGTCGGTTGGCATCAACTGACCCCTTCCCCGTCAAACTAACGATGGTGTTCTGCTTCGTAACGTTCTGCTCCCATCCCCCCGTAGATAAGTGCTCGTCTAGCCGCGCGTTGGAAAACTCGTTTATGCTGCTAAGTTCTGCCAACCCTGCGTCGTGCAAAGGAGAGCCGGGGCCACCGCCAACATGCAACTTGGTCAGATCATCAGCATACTTAGTGAGACTCAACTCCATTTGCTGATGCGTGACTGGGCATTCAGCTGCAAGAAGACTCTCCGAGTCCACGCAATCCAAGAGTTGTTCGCTCCAGCAGCCAACTGGAGCAGCATATGCACGGCCGAAGCTTTCTACTGCATAGGGGTCACCCATAAGTGCACCGCACTTGGGCTTCACGAGAAGCCTCTCGTCTGGCAACTGAGTAGTAGCTGATCGTACTCTATCAAACCCAAAAGGTTGATCCTCGGGCTCAAGCAGGAGCGAGTTGGCAAGCTCGAGAGAGTCCCAGCTGGTGGAAGCGAAAGCGTTGCTGAGGTCCTTGTTGGACCAGCTGGCGGAATAACCTGGAACTCGAAGCCTATGTAGCATACACTGAATAACCAACATGGCCCCTTCCTTTCGTCGGCCTCTTGAAAAACCGCAACCCGAAGGTCCCAAGGGAAGCGGTCGCTTTCGAAAAATTGCGGCGGCGAGCCAGGCTTTTCCCAATGGGTCGAGAAGGTGAATTACACGCTTTCCCTTGGGCCCAGGCACCGACGATTTCGGAAGCCCACATCCGAAACTTCTATTCCAGAGCCGTGGAAAACGCCCAGCGAAACGAACACACTGAAGGCCCTTCTGCAGAGCCGTATACAAGACAGCGGAGTCCAAATCTTTATCCGCTCCAAGCCCTAGTCGATCTGGCGCCAGCCCAAATTCAGGATCAATAACAATCCCCCAAAGCTCACCTGGAAGAGACCATGGCGGGCATGAACGTCTCTTGGGGGCCCTACGAAGATAACTACCAATACCAATCATATCTGTCATAGCCTCAACGCTGAATGCGCCGTAGTAGCCGCTCAGGCCCACCTCCTCGCACTCCTCGTCCTCTGCGATCTCCTCCACCTCCATCCCCCCTCTCGGTCCTTCCAGGGCCCAAGCACTCAACCACTCATCGGCAGTTAGCGCGGCGCCCTGCATGTGACGATAACTCCTACCGCGGGGGCCTTTTCCACGAGATGCCAGTAAGCGAATAAGGCGATGTGCCTCCTTATGGTTTCGTACCCGCCACGCCTCCTCTAGCTCCGACACCGCCTCCTCCCTCCATTCCAAATAATGCTTCCTGCGCAGCTTTGCACAGGCTCTACTGCTGGCTTTCAATGCTTGCTTGATGGTCTCCTCCTCCTCCTCCGTGCTGGCATCTTGTAGAGACGACCGAATGCGGAGCCGCTCATGAAGCAGGGCGACTCTCTCATCAGCCTGCCGTCCATACTCAGGGGAAGCCGAATAGAGAGTGCCACCAAACAACTCCTCTGCAGCACCACGAAGTGCCTCGTTCAAACAGTTGAAATAGGCATCTGGCAAGCCGGCCTTCAAGAAACCCTCGAGCTCGACCTCTTTGCTAGCAATGGCCTCCCCTGCTCGAAAAATAAAAGCGCGACGGGCCTCACGAGACCTCATGGCTTCAAAATTCCAGTAAATCCTAGTCTGCTGCTGCAAGTTGGGCTCGGCGTGCTCCCACCGAAAATTGCAGTGAACAGGAATGTGATCCCTCGGGTGCTTTGATGGAATGAGTTGGTGCTTTCGCATAAGGCCCCTCAAGGGGCCGCCAAAATGGACCAGGCCCAACGCAGCAGCAGGGCCAAACATGTAATCAACACGACTAGCCACTCCATCTTTGCCGTACCACGTCGGCTCGGTAACACTGCGCAGGCCAAGCAATACCATCCCATTCTCCTCCATCACCTCCCGTACTAGCTGTCCAGCACCCCCCTCAAGGTTCTCCCGAGTCGCTAATTCTTCCGTGACGACCGACGTGTCATTATAGATCCACCGATCTTGTTCCCGAGAGAGCCCGATCCCATCATTCAAATACATACAAAAAATAAGAAGCACGCGAGCTCGATCCTTCAAATCCGCAAAAACTTTACGAAGCCAAGTTGCCAGTCGAGAGACCGTAGCGAAATAATCCGGCCGACCTTGCACCCCTCGCGGCCGAGGTGGAAAGTAGAGCCCAAACACCGCGATGTCCATTCCCTTCCTCTTGAGACGTACCCCGAGTCCCCGCCCAGCTAGGTCTGCGCCAACATGCCACTGCCTAACTACGTGAGATTCACGAAAACCCCTGCTCAAGCACATCGTGATGCCCGCGGATTTGTTGGTATACGCTCCTCGAGACCATCCTGCGTGAAGCAGCAGAGAGCCCGCCAACTTACGTTTTTCTACAACTGCGCCGTGTGCTGCTCGAGTGTGCGTGCCGACCAGAACGCACACGTGAAGCTGGAGCCAGACAACTTCACAAACTCCTCCTGGCGATTTGCCGAAACGAAAGATAAAGGATTCCAGCGCAGGATTCTCAGCATAACATGGAAGCGGTCACGCGTCGGCTGTGTCGTGGCAGATCTGCCCGTGACTTCTACAGATACGGTTAAGCAAAGTGTGTGATGCTGCGTTACATATGGAAAGGTGGCCTCGCTGCAGAGGGGCCTTGCGCCACCTTGGAGGAGGAGGAGGAGGAGGAGGAGGAGGAGGAAGATTCATGGCGATCCCCTCCCCGCCGTGCCTCGGCCATCCACGGCGGCAGCCGGAACGCCACGCCCAGGTCCTGCCGAAGGGCAGCGAGCGCGCGCCCCCCGCACAAGCTAAGCCGCAGCTCGGGGCCGTCGTCGTCGTCGTCGTCGTCGTCGTCGTCGTCGTCGTCGTCGTCGTCGTCGTCGTCACGAGGAGGAGGTGGATCGTGGCCCTGACAGGGAGGGGCTAGGAAGAGGAGGAAATGCGACCACCGCTGCGGACAGCGTCCGGGCCTAGAGCAGACCAGGTGGGTGAGGCCATGGCCTCTAGGATCTGAGGGGTCTGGATTCATGCAATGTGAGACACGTAATTAAAAAGTTAGGAGGAGAGGGGGAGGAGGAGGAAAAGAAAGTCCTTGGTGTCGGTGTCGGGAGGGGGAAAGGGAAGAGGCGCGATGAGAGTGAGGAGCAGGAGGGGGGGGGCAGGAGGAATCGTTGGGAGCAGGTCCCCGCTCTTCGTTTCCCGCTTCCGCCTCCTCGCGGGGAACGGCTCGATCCTCCTCCTCCTCCTACTCCTCGTCTTCCTCCTCCCCCTCATTCTCCATTTCCTCCTCCTCCATTCTCATTTCCTCCTCCTCTCCTCGCCAGCTTTGGCTCAGGGAGCCTTCTCTTAAGCTTGCAGCCGCAGCTACGGTGGCTGAGTGGCCGCCCGGCAGCACGTCGAGAGATCCCTGGCCAGGAGCTCGGGGCTCCACCGATGTTCGCAAGTACTTCTGAATGCCCCATGCGGGGCATGGCACCGCCCAGGGCTCGTGCTTGCACCGTGTCGCAGAGTGGCTGCAAGCTGTGCTGCGGCAAGACTTCTGTGCGGTCACACCGCGCGAAGCTGGCAGGGGCAATTCGCGGGCTGCGCACAGTGCAACAAGGCGTCGTCGCGACCTAGGCGCTAGAACAGTGGTGCGGGCACTTGCCCAAGGGGTGGAGCAACTTGAAGCAGCAGACTGTTCTGATAAGCATCCGTTGGTGGCGGCTGCCAAGGCCACCCAAGCCCCTGGGACCAAAGCCGACACGGGGACTGGTGGCTCCGCTCGCGCCAGGGCAAGCTCACCCACCCTTAGATTTGGCGGCGAGCGCGGGGGGGAAGTGAGAAGGAGCGGGCCTTCTCAGAATGCTCGGAAGTCCCCCGTCCTTCTGAGAAGTTACCTAAGCCTTCTCCGAAGACAGAAAACAACCTCTCAGAAGGCGCGCTGGCTTCTGAGAAGTCCCGCTGCCTTCTGAGAAGGCCTTCTCCCTCTCATTTCCCCTCTCGCTCGCCGCCTCGGCCAATATGTAAGGCCACCTCCAGGCCCGGGAGCTGCTCCCAAAGGTCCCAAACCCTGCCCGACCAAGACCAAGCCACTGCGGGATCCTGCAGGACCTGGCGCTCCGGCTCATCCCCGTGCGAGCTGAACCCCCGTTCCAAGACATTGACGTCGCGATTTTTCAAATGGCGTGGGCTCCAGGCAGAAGTCTGGATTCCTTTCCGGGGACACGCTTTCATCCTGGAACGTTTTTCAACTGTGCCCAGGCACGTGCAGCCACCAAAAACCCGGAAATGGCGGCGAAACAACTCTCGTCGTGTTCTTCTCACGACGCAAGAGGGTCTTAGCTACCTGCCGGCTGAACGACCCTCCTGCGCTGAGACTCGACGTTGCAAAATAAGCACGACATCGTAGAACACAGCACGACTGGAGCCTCAGACTCCACCGCTCTGCAGCATCCTTGGAGCCGCATCGATATGCTATGGCCCCGGGCCCGAGCGCGGGCGAAGACGCCCAGTGCGTAAAAACTGCTGCGCCTGGTCCTCAAGCAACCCCGTCCACTGCCGGCTGACCGGCCCTCCCATCGGCGGCAAGCGAGGGGGGAAGTGAGAAGGAAAAGGCCATCTCAGAAGGCGGCGGGACTCCTCGGAAGCCCTCTGGCCTTCTGAGAGGCTGTTTTCCGGGGAGGCTTAGAGAACTCCTCAGAAGGCGGCGTGGACTTCCGAGACTTCCGAGAAGGCCCGCCCAACGGGCTCCCTCACTTCGCGCTTCGCGAAGCTTCGCGAATCACTTCGCGCTCTGGCGCCGCCCCCCCGGAGGAGACGAGGAGGATGGGGAGGACTCGAAGCCGCACCGCGAAGCGCGAAGAACTTCGCGCCCTTGACGGGGGCCCCTTTGCCTTCGCACTCTAGAAGTGAAGTTCCCCCAGGAAGAATCGTCCTGGGGAAATTTCGGGGGCGCGACGAGCTTCGCGCCCTTGGGAGCGCCCCTTTGCCTTCTCACTTCGGGTGAGGTTCTCCTCGAGGGCACCTGCCAGTTACCCCAGGAAGAGTCTTCCTGGGGAAACTGACAAGTCAAAGCTGCACCTAAACGGTGTTTTTCGTTTTCGTTTTGTTTTCGTTTTCCCTCGCTTTTGTCTCGAATCCGCCTTTCCCACGAATCGAAGTCGAAACGAAAACGGCCCACGAAATCACCCAAAACAACGTTTAGGTCCAGCCCTGTGACAGGTACCGATACCGACCGCTGCTCCCCAGACCTCACACCGGGGTGCGTTCTGACCCGTCTCTCGAGGCGGATCTGGCGGTGGCGATAAGGGGCCTCCTGGGAGGCCCCAGACGGGTACAACGGGGCAAGGGTAGCAGCATGGGTATTCCAGATTTCGTAATAAAAGGGAAGGGGTCTGGACCCTCCAAGACAAGCCATTTCAGACCTCCCCCGTGGGAGAACCCTCCAAAACATCGTCCCCAGACCCCCCTAAGACCCTCAAAGATAGCCTGGAAGAGACCCCCCCCCGAAATGAGACCCCCCTCCCTTTATTACGAAATCGGGAGTACGCGGACGCGCCGTGGCCCCTTGGTCTCGACTCGGCTCTCCGCTGGCCGCTCGGGGCGCTCCAGGCCCCCCCCCCCGAACGCCCTCGGCGAGGCGCGGCCGCTGGAGCGCATCGCGAGGCCGAGACGCCGCCGAGGAAGCGCCGAGCCCGGCCGAGAGCCTCGACCCTCGCGCCTCGGCAGCTCGCCCCTTCCCCCCCCCCTCTTGCTCCGCTGCCGCTCCTCGCCCCCCCTGCCCTCCGGGCCGTCCTCCCCGTCCAGGAGGTACGAGATCGTCTGCTGCCGGGGCCGCCGCCGGTCGAGCAGGCACGTGACCACGCAGCCCGTGCGGCCCTCGTGCGCCTCCGCGCGGCCGCCGCGCGGTCCGCCGCGCCGAGCTCGCGCGCCGAGCTCGCGCGCCGAGCTCGCGCGCCCTCCGCGGGGCGAAAGGCGAGCGCGCCGTCGCCGCTCGGGGGAATCGAGCGATGCAGCGGCCGAGGCTTCTGCTCTGCGTGTCTGAAGGGGCCCTGGGACGCACAAATAAACAGACACAAATAACAAGATTCCCCCATCTATTTCCTGGGTTTCTGTCTTCCCCCCACTTCCCATATGTTTGAATATATCATGGGAATCGACGACTGATTGTGCCTGTGTTTTGCCCTCTGCAGGGGATCGAAAAATGGCACCAACAGAAAAACTCGGAGGTCTGCGCGGATTTCTCGGATTCGCGCTGGACCCCCCTGGCGCGCGGAGCGCGCCAGGGGCGGCGCCGGAGGCGCCGCCAGGGGTCTCCAGCGCCGATTCGAGAAATCTGCGCGGACCTCCGAGTTTTACGTTTGTCACTATTCATTAACAGGGACCGACCGTCCTGGCATTCCTGTAGGCCTACCACGACATGTTCTTAGAATCCAAAAATGTTCTGATAACAAAAACAATGTTCTTGGAACAGAAACCCGATGTGCTAAACCAAGACAGCCCCAGCCAGAAATGTTCTAAGAACATTTCGTGGAAACCACCAAAAGTTCTCAGAACCTTGTTCGGTAGGCCGACAGGCGAGTCAGGACGCTTCGCCACTGCTGGATATTCGTTCCCCTACTCTAGCCTCCAGATGGCCGCCTCCGGCAGCCCCGAACCCCAAAAAATAGTGTCGCCCCCTGGGGGGCCCACTTGTGCTTCCGCCGGCTTCCACCGGCGGAGACGGCCTCGTTTTACTTCCGCCGCCTTCCGCCGAGGAAGAGATGGCAACTCCTTCGATCCTCGAAGGCAAGCCCTTTTTCGGAACGCCCCAGATGCCTTCAGGGTAAAAACAAACAGACCGACGCCACCACCACCACCAGTGCGAGGAACCAGGGGGGCTCCCGCCCAACCCCTCTGGCTCGAGACATCCCCTGTCCCCAGCTCGGGGAGGCATCGTGGACCTCCCGGCTAGAGGTGGCACCCCTGGTGGTGGTGGTGGTGGTGTCGCTTCTCGCCCTCCTCCAACGGGGGCCTCGGAGGACGGCGGTCGGGGGATCGAGGACCGAGCGATCGGCAAGGGTCGAGGATCGAGGTTCGTTGCTGCGCTTTCGCCTCTTCCGTGGCCTCTGGAGGCCTCTGCGCTTGGGGGAGCACTCCGATGGAGGGGAACAAAAAGAGATGGCCATACCCAAGACGGAACGCGGAAACGTCGATGCTGATCTTTGTCACCGCTCATCTTGGCCATCGCCAATTCGTGGATCACCCTCGCGATTCGGCGACGGCCAGCATGGACCATGAGCAAGATCGGCATCGACCAGACCCCGCGATATGTTGGTCATGGCAATCGTGTTCTTGTTTTCCTCCACGGCGGCTCGCGGAGACGGAGCCAGTGCAATGGCGGGGACACTGCACTAATTAACATAATCACATGATCATCTCCCCAGACATGGAACATCGAACTGCTCGCGCCACGAGGAGAACAGCTGACCAAAGCGCAGGCAAACGGCAAACACGCCACACAAAGTCCGTGAAGCGAGCCTCTCCCTCAGCTCTGGCAGCCAGAAGTTGGTCACCCAAGAGTCGAGCACGGGATCGATCACAGAACTGATTCACCCCAGAATTATTTGTTCTCCGAATGTACGAATCATGCGCAGAATGTTCGTAGATCTACTGAACACGCTACGCGTTTCTCGCAGATTCGACGAATAAAGAAATTCTGGGGCAAATCAGTTCTGCAATCCGAACCCTGCTCAAAAGAGGGCCATCGCCCCGATTCCGCGACATCCTGGCCATGGTCCTCGTGCTTCTTCCCTCGACCCGAGGCCTCCGGAGGCCTCCCGAAAGCCAGCCAGCGCCTCGAACTTAACTGCCCTGATGCGCAACACGTAGCGTACGGCAAGTTCGCCGTCGTGTCGACCCCGGCGTTAGTTCCTGACACCGCGGGGAACGTTCAGACTTGAACGAGCGGACGTTCCGTGAACGCCGCATCGTTCAACGACGGGCCAATTCTGGGCCACGGGCGGCGTTCAAGCTCAAACGCACGCGGTGAGATCGCCGTAGGTCGGCACGACGCGAACCTGCCGTATTGATACGGAGCTCAACACGTTGACTGAAAACGTAGGTCTGAAGGGATACGTTCGCCAAAACGTGGGCCAAAAGGTGGAACCAACAAGCGGGGTTGCGACACGGACGTCTGGGGCAGGGTACTTGCTGCGTTTCAGAACGGGCGTATCGGGGCAGCTGAAATATCAAATGCTGCCGGGGACATGTCGAAGTGTCCGCCTGGGCCAGCGGGGGGGGCGACTCCGACCAGGGACGGTGCTCGGCAGGGCTGAACCTAAACGGTGTTTTTCGTTTTCGCTTTGTTTTCGTTTTCCCTCGTTTTCTCTTCGATTCGCCTTTACAGCAAAGCGGAGTCGAAACGAAAACGGCCCACTAAATCGCCAAAACACCGTTTAGGTCCAGCCCTGCCATCCACCACGCGCGCTGCAGATCCATCCGGCAGTCTGCCCGTCCACCCAGACGTCGATCTGTGTCGCAACTGGAAAAGAAGCAGCCGCGGGCGACAGTGCCTTGCCGTATGGCTCGAACTTGTTGGCGTGGGACTTCATCCCCGTGCCGCCGTAGCCTTGAGAATGGGACGTGCGATGGCAGGAGGGGCGGAAGGAGGAGATGGGAGGAAAGCGCTTTCACGAGGGAAGCGTGGGTGTGAGCAGAATGGTGCGCGAGATGCGGGAAGGCGCGTGTCGACGCCCTCCGACCGCGCGCGCCGACGGCGCGCGCGGGCCGCAGGGACCCTGCACCTCCAGCGGGGTGCCCAGGGTCCCTGTCCTCTGGGGTCTTGCGCCCCCTGCGGTGTGCTACGGCAGGTTCGTGTCGTGCCGACCCCAGCGTTGGTTTCTGACACCGCGCTGGATCGTTCAACCTTGAACGATCGGCCGCTGCCGCAACGTCCGATCGTTCCACATCGACCGATTCTGGGCCGCCGGCGGCGTTCAACGTTGAACGTCGGCGGCGGGGTCGCCGCCGGTCGACACGACGCGAACCTACCGTAGGGGGCTCCCGTCCGCCGCCGGGCCCCTCTCGCTTCCACGGCGACGTGCCCCGTTGGCCGTCGCCCGGCCAACGGCGCTGGGCGAGCCGCCCCCGCGCCGCGCTGCCCCTCGTGAAGGGCGGGCCGCGGGCGCCAGTGAAGCTGCTCGCCCCCGCCGCGCCGGGCAGCCGACCACGACCAGGTCCTTGGTCACGGCTGCGCCGCGCACGGGCCGCACCACCACGAGGTAGTGCGTGGCCAGCCCCGGCTCCAGTGGCACTCTGTCGGCGTCCAGGGCTGCTGCCACGATGGTGCCTGGGCGCTCGCCGTTTCGCTCGGCCCATCGGCACCTGGAGCACCAGCGCTGGCCGTCGACGCCCTTCAACCCGCACACCAGCGTCGCCACAACGGGCGCCAAAGCCTTCTTGGGGGTTGCGAGGCTGCCGACGGCAGCACCAACCGCGGAGACCCACATCGTCAAACCCTCGCCCATCTTACGCGAAACCACGAGCCGCTGTCGACCAGCAGGGGCCAGCAGAGCATAGGCCGTAACACTCTTGGCCGCCTGATCGACCAACTGGTTTCCGTACCAGTCACGGTGAGTGATCCTGCCATCAGCGACGTGGCGGCGATACTGTTGAGCAAGGACCTTCCTGATCGTCAGGCCGTGCTCGCCCAAGCCGCCGAACTCGTCGAGCAGGCGCCACACCTCTCTCCACAAGTGCGACCACGGAGGTGGCCCTGTCACGGCCAACTTCCGTGATCCAGAAGAACACGAGGTTGCTGTACACCGCGAGGGTGATTGGTAGCACCCCGAAGCGCAGCACCGCATCCAGCGCCGAGAGCTCGCCGCTGGTGTCCAGAGAAGGGCAGCTCAAGACGGCGGAAACGCCCACCAAAACACCTCAGCTGCAAGCTGCAACACCATCACAGCCTGGCCCGCACTGACGCATTGCTCGCGTTCACCCTCGAATTGGGGCCCGTTAGGGAACAGCTCGCCAGACGGTAGGCACCCCTGATGGCTGCCCATCCAACACAGCTGCTCGGACCTGGGCGGCATAATGAGCCCACGCGGCAGCTGCCACAGCGCTCTCACCAGCAGGCCTGCCACCTCAGGAAGATCAGCACGCTCACGCCGCCTTTGCACAGGCGGTGGCAGCAGAAGCTCAGGATGCCACCCGCTACAGCCCCAAGGCCGATGAAGCAGCGTGCCCACGGCACCACGCACGCGACACTAGTCGTCGAGGGCCATTCCGCGCGCGTACCTTCGCTGTGGATACCTCTGCTCACCCACAGTGGCACACGCCAAACAGCTTCGCTCCTTGAGGTTGAGGCGCACCGCGGGGCCAACCGTCGCCAAGACAAGGGCACCAGCGGCGACCTGTCCCCCAGCAGCAGGCAGCAGCGGCGCAGGAGGCCCCTCGGCAGCACCAGCAGCAGCAGCAGACTGAACATGACGGCAAGCGCACGACTTGCCTGCCCACAGCGCCTGTGGCAGCCATGAGCACCAGCGACTGCAGCACACCGGCATCTGCCAGGTGCCCAGGTCCTTCATGGCGTCCGACATGCTGCCACTGCCAGGCCTACACCGCCCTCTCCACAGCAGCCCCGTTGAGGACCCACAGCGCGAGCTCGAAGGCGTCCAGGACAGGCCCTGTTGCGTTCTCGAAACGCGGCCATCGACGACCTCCCAGCCGACGCGCTGCAGCGACAGCCCCACAGCCGAGAAGGCCCACGGACCAACGCCCAGCAGGTGGCCTCGCAGTTCATCGGGCATACTCGATGGTGCGCAGAGGCTGCCATTGCACCCAGGCGGCCCCGAGCATCGCCATGATCGGCACCGCGGTAGCACAGTACATGTTTTGTTTTGAGG